CGCCCTCTGGGGGGAGCCTCCCTGGAAAATCAACACCGGTTGCATAGTGTACCTTTAATAATAGTCTTGACATAATAATGAATTCTCACTTTTTTCATTTAGTGGGGGAATAATAATCAACACAGTCGGATAAACATAAATCAAATGAACATTTTGCCAAATAAAACAAAAAAATTAACCATCAGAGCCAGCAGTCCTTTACAGGCAGCTATTCCGAGAGAGGGCTGCTGTAGACGGGCTAGGATTAGACCTGCCTGCCCTTACCCTCGGAGGTCCGCTGTTTGCCGCGGTTCTCTAAACCAGTGTTTTTCAACCCTGGTCCTCAAGGCACACTGCCCTGCATGTTTTAGTTTTTTTCCCAGCTTTCACACACCTGTTATCAATTGATAGCAGATTATCATGCTTTGCTGAACTGCAATCATCTGAATCAGGTGTGCTGAAGCTCAGAAACATTCAAAACATGCAGAGCAGTGTGCCTTGAGGACCAGGTTTGAAAAACACTGCTCTAAACATCGGAACTTTTTTCAAATTAGGCACTAAATCAGTAAATGGGCCATATAGTGGCGCTTAAAAGGATAATGTTCTCACCTCAAATTATCTTAAAATGTACTTTTATAGAACAACAGTAACAGAAAAAGAACATTTAACTTTTTTCTCTGAGCTCCGTGAGCGCTCTACTGCAAGAGGCTGCTGCCGCGGTGCATGCTGGGACAGCTGTACAGTACACTCGAGAACTTGAGAATGCATAGGTCTGCTCTGATGCATAGAGTTAGGGGCAAGAACAACATCTGGGGAGTTCTCGCTTTTGTGTTCTTGTGAATTGGAACAGTAATAGGGCTGAGGCTGATGATGTTTCACAAGCACAAATGCACATGAAAATGCACAAGTAATTGAGAAACAGCCTCTAGCTCCTACTGTAGCTCCTATCTTTCACCTTTCACAGGGCCAACAGTAAGAACACTATCCAGGGTAGGGAGGCAGCTTAAGATTGCTCCCTCCCTACAATACACATAAAGTAGTATTTATGGCTCTACACATAAATACTGCTGGTCAAATTAGGAATACAGCCACCAACAACATACCTACAAAGAACAAAAGTTATACAAATGTGGCAGTTCCAATCACACCCAGCTTCCACCATCCTTGCTTTTCTTTGCTACAGAATCATTTCACCTGCTTATCAGCCTTTTTTGCTGATGTCCTTTAACACATATTTGTTTCAGTTAGTTTTCTCCCTTCACGGGTGAATACTGGTCCCACACCGTGTTTCCTTGAGCAACTCTTATCATGCCTTTTTTCCACACCAATCCTGTTTATAGCCATCTTTTGTCATGATCTGGCCTGTTT